CCTAGGTGGATGCTCAACCACTGAGCCAGGCCAGGCCAGTGTGAAACCCCTTCAGGAGGCACCCTGTGCGCAGTCCTGACGCGGTCCCCCCTGGAGGCTGGTGGGAAGCGGTGTCGAGGGGCTCGGGCCCCCCAGACAGGGTGGGCTCTGTCCTGGAGGGCTCAGGCTCAGGCTCAGGCTCAGGCTCAGGCTCAGGCTCCAGCCCCTGGTGAGGAGTGCGGGGACCCTAGCCCGCTGCTTGGACACAGGACCCGCACGCCAAGCGTTCGCTGCTGCCAGCCCCTCCTGTGAAAATGTCCAGGCCCCAGCGGAAAGCCTGTGTCACAGGGACAGTGCGGGCTGGGGAGGAGGCCCGTGCCAGCCTGGCCACACCCGGCCGGCCGTCAGCCTCCCGACACCCCCGCATTTCGTCTCCATCCACTGATTCGTGCTAACATCTGGCCCCAGGGTGGCAATAGCATATATTTTTCTTCATAGTCCTTTTTTCCTCTCTATATTTTAAAATATGTTTTTATTGATTTTTTTTTTTAGGGAGAGAGGAAGGGAGCAGGAGAGAGAGATAGAAACATGGATGATGAGAGAGAAATCATGGATTGGCTGCCTCCTGCACACCCCTTAGTGGGGATCGAGCCCACAACCCGGGCATGTGCCCTGACCGGGAATCGAACCAGCAACCTCTTGGTGCACGGGACGATGCTCAATCCACTGAGCCACACCGGCCGGGCTTTTCTTCATATTGCAGCCCGGTGCTGGGCCCTGGGATTGGTTGTGTGTGTTACAGACATTGTTGCTACCCTCACATTGTAGTGGAGGTGGGAGAATAAACATATGACCATGTGAACAATTTCATAGTTGAAAATTATTAAAAGTAAACAAGATGGCCCGGCCGGCGTGGCTCAGGGGTTGAATGTTAACCCATGAACCAGGAGGTCACGGTTTGATGCCCAGTCAGGGCACATGCCTGGGTTGCGGCCTCGGTCCCCAGTGTGGGGCGTGCAGGAGGCAGCTGATCCATGATTCTCTCTCATCATGGATGTTTCTATCTCTCCCTCTTCCTTCCTCTCTGAAGTCAATAAAAATATATTTTAAAAATAATATATATATTTTTTAAGTCAGGATTTCTGCTGCTCCCCACGATAGAGTAACTGGGCGGGGACTTACCCTCTTGTTATGAACGATAGGAAGTTGGAGGAAATACATCTGTGAAAGAGCGATGAGGTACAGACGTTGGACAACAGACTGTGCAGGGCTGGGACCCCGAGAAGGGGACCAGGTGGGGGCCCCTGCCGATTCCCTGTCCTCGGCACTGCCAGGCTGTGCGACGGGAAGGCTTGCCCGGTGGAGAAGAATGTGTTCAGGGCGGAAAAGGTGGCCGGAACCTGTTGGAGGGGACCACGCAGAGAAAGGTCCAGAAATAGGCACAGAATTCCCCAGAGGAGGTTGGAGGAGGAGGTTGGAGGCAGTTGCTGGGCTAGGGCACAGGGAGGGGGGCACCCAAACAGCCTGCAGCCTGGCTGGGGGAGGAGAGCGAATGTGGCCCGAGGGAGGCCGAAGGGCTCGCAGAGTTCCCGAGAGGAAGGTTCCAGAAACCTGCAGAGGGGTCTTTGGCCAAAGACCCATCTGTCCATGTGTCTGTGTGTCCAAATGGAAGGGCGGGCGATGCCCCAACCACTGAGCCACGCAGGCCAGGCCTGGCTGCAGGTTTCTCACGCGGATGGAGGTCTTGTCAAAATCCAGGCCCGAGCAATGGGACCCTGAGGGGTTGTTTCTTGGGGGGACCAGGTGATAGGTGGACCCGGGGGGGGGGGGCTGTGGGTCTGAGGGAGCTGGGATCGGGGGGAGGGGGTCTGCTGAGTCACACGGCTGCTTCTGCCCTGCACGCGGGAGCCAGCACGCTCTCCAACGTGCCCTGTTCTGCCGATAATTGGACACAGATGTTCCTCGTCTGCAGGCTCCGGCGCCTCCGGCAGACAGCTGCCTCCCCCGCCCACCTCCATCCTCCCGGGTGCTGGGTCTGAGCTGGGAGGGTGTGTGCACCCCATGTTGGGGGGACCCCAGGGCCCATTGTTCTCGGAGGAAGAAAACGCCACCTGTGGTATTTCCCAGCCCCCGAGGTCCCTCTAGCTTTTATTTGATTTTGTTATTTTTCATCCTCACCCGAGGATATTTTTCCCATGGATTTTTAGAGAGAGGGAAAGACAGAAATACCGATGTGAGAGAAGCATCGATTCGTTGCCTCCTGCACGCCCCACACGGGGTACTGAGCAACTCTGATCGGGAATCGAACCCTGACCCCCTGGTTCCTAGGTCGACGCTCAACCGCTAAGCCTGTGGTCGGCAAACTGCGGCTCGCGAGCCACATGCGGCTCTTTGGCCCCTTGAGTGTGGCTCTTCCTAAGCCTTAGGAGTACCCTAATTAAGTTAATAACAATGTACCTACCTATATAGTTTACGTTTAAAAAATTTGGCTCTCAAAAGAAATTTCAATCGTTGCACTGTTGATATTTGGCTCTGTTGATGAATGAGTTTGCCGACCACTGGGCTAAGCAAACGCCGGCCGGGCTACTGACCATCCTTTTAGACCTTAACGGTCAACTGGGAGGGACAAGAGGCAATGCCAGCCCCACATGCAATAGCTGAGTTGTGCTGAGCTTAGAAGACGAGGGCGCCGAGCAGGTGGAGATGCTGAAAGGAGGGGGAGATGGCGTCTTTCCGAGAGGCCCGGGGGATGGTCCCATTCTCCTCCAAACCGGGAGCCCTCCGTCCAGGAGGGAATCGGATGCATGACGGACCACCCCCCCCACGGCCTCTCCCTCCGCCCAACCAGACGGGACCCAGCCACACCCGCCGGGCCTTCAGGGTCACAGTGACAGCAGGAGTCCCAGAGCATGGGGCCAGGCAGCCAGGCAGGGCCAGGGCGACGGTGGAGGTCCCCCCGCTGGCTGGCAGGCATCCCCGCCCGGAGCCCGGAACGCAGGCCTCCAGACTCTGAATCCAAGGCCATTTCTGCCAAGTGATCCCGCATTTGTTCCTTGTGGTTCGGTCGCCTAACTGGAGGGTGGTTCTTCCTCTTCTGACAGTGAGCAGACAGACTACAGTGATGAGAGAGCATCACCCCTAGGCCGCCTTCCACCGGAGGGGAGGGGCCGTTCAGGTCCAAGGGGAGTCTCTCTCCCCCTCCCCCTCCCGGGCCCCCTCTCTTTCTCCCTCTTCCTTTCCCCCTTCTCTCCCCCAGCCCCGCCCCTTTCAGGGGGGCAGGCCAGCGCTGGGAAAGTGCCCCCGGCAGGCAGGGCATCGGTAGCCGGCACCGCCTGCTGCCAATTCACAGCTGCCGAGCCCACGAGGCCTTCACACTGGCACTTGGCAGGCGGCCCCAGCTCTGGGGATAATGGCACTTTGTTAGCACAGAGGAGCCGGCGTGTGAACTGAGCTGGCACGGTGACCCCGGCAGCCCTGCCAGCCGGGCCACGAGCGCTGGTGCCCTGGAGCTCGGCACCAAACCCAGGTGCTTAGACCAAACCCCCACAGGCATCTGTGCAGGCCCAGGTCCAGGTGGGCAACTGAAGGTAAATCGACTGAATACAGGGGTCTGACTAAACGTCCACGTGGCCCGGCCGGCGTGGCTCAGTGGTTGAGCATCAGTCTGTGAACCAGGAGGTCACGGTTGGATTCCCAGTCAGGGCACATGCCCGGGTTACAGGCTCCATCCCCAGTAGGGAGCGTGCGGGAGGCAGTTGATCCATGATTCTCTCTCATCATTGATGTTTCTCTCCTTCTTCCTCTCCCTTCCTCTGAAATCAATAAAATATATATATATATATATATTTTTTATTTTTTTAAAAATATATTTTATTGATTATTTACAGAGAGGAAGGGAGAGGAATAGAGAGCCAGAAACATCGATGAGAGAGAAACATCGATCAGCTGCCTCCTGCACACCCCCTACTGGGGATGTGCCCGCAACCAAGGTACATGCCCTTGACTGGAATCGAACCTGGGACCTTTCAGTTTGCAGGCTGACGCTCTCTATCCACTGAGCCACACCGGCCAGGGCCTGAGCCTATATCTTATCATTGATTTCTCATGATTCCCAGTTGGGCGGGATTTCCTGCTCAGCGTCAGGGGAGACGGAGCCCGGCTCCTCCCCACCGAGGCGATGAGGAAGGTCATTGGGTCCGGCCTGGGTCTGGACCCCTGGGGAGAAGAGCTTTGCCTACAGCGACTGTCCGGACTGGACAAGGCCATCGTAGTCGCCAGCTCTCGGAGGCGGCGGTAGGGCGTCTCCCATCGCTCCAGTCTCACCGGTGACCCTCACAACCCCCTGCTGTCTGCCCCAGTAAGGAAACACCCCGATGATGGAGACCACTTCTCATCCCAGGCCACACCCACATGTATCAAACCAGTGTTCTCTACAGGATATTTATCTTGTATATATTTTGCTTGATGTCAGAGAGGAAGAGAGAGGGAGAGATAGAAGCATCCATGATGAGAGAGAATCATGGATCGGCTGCTTCCTGCACGCCCCACACTGGGGATGGAGCCCGCAACCCGGGCATGTGCCCTGACCGGGAATCGAGCCGTGACCTCCTGGTTCCTAGGTCGATGCTCAACCACTGAGCCACGCCGGCCCGGCTCTATGGGATATCTGAACACCGTGATTGAAGCTACACTAAAGCCAGCAGTGCTGCACACTGGGCCCTGAGAAATTCATCACAGGGGGAG